AATTCTCCTCGTCGTAATGATCCAAGCTATAATTAGTCAAATGGGCCCAATTGTAACAACATCACAAGGCTGTCATCAAAGAGGAACAAAAGAAGCTTAAGATTGGAGGATTGAAGAAAAAAAACATAGACTTTAGTGATGTTAGACATGGCTTTTTAAGGAGCCACATTTCTGACTTTGGAGAGCGAGAAAGCCTTTTATTTACTCTGCATGCTTATCTTTTGAAATTATTTTTAAATAATGCTATTATAATGTCATGTTGCTCTTTTCTCTCTTCTGTATTTCCATCCCCTATCTTCTGTCTAAGCTTCTGTCTTCGGTCTTCCTCCCATCCCACCCCATCCCAGCACTATCGCCCCTTCATTTTGATTTATTTCATCCCTTTGACTTTCTTCTCTTTCTTTTTCCCCTCCGCTATGCTGCCATTTACTCTCTTCTATGGCTCTGTCTCCCATGGTCCGTGCCATTCCTTCCCCATAGCTGTCTCCACCTAGGCTGTCTCTGATACAGTCACCTTGTTAACACTTTGAAGCTGTTAAGATCAGAGAGCTTGACAAGCTGCAGTGAAATGTGGCAGGCCTACTCCTGATTACACAGACTTAAATATAAGACAGCCAATTTGCTCCCGCTTTGAAACCCTCAATAAACCAGAGTTTCAGTGCAGCCCACGTCCCGCTATCTCCTCTGGAAATGTAAAATCATGCTCCCCAAATGCCTCGCTATTCTATTCTATTTTTTTTTCTTCTGTCATGTGATGCTGGTTATTACATAGTGCGTTTACTTGTGCTTAGAAGCCTGGAAACATTTTAAAATTCAACTTCACACAAACATGTGGGATTTGCAAATCCAGATGTTTTACGTTTCTAAAAATGTCTTTCCAACGCCAAATTATCACCAACTACTCTATTTAGTCTGAGTTTGTGTTTTAATAAATCTAAATGCACAAAAGAGCTGACTACCACGTACTGTAATAAGGAAACTTTCCATCACCGCATGTGAGTCATATGTCATCCCCTTCAGCAGGATAGCCCACAGTGACAGCTAGACACTTTGTTATGACCCAAAGGTGAACCTGACAGGGCATCAACAACCTTACTCTCTCCTGAGTCACCCCACAGCCCTACACTGTAAACCCCAAGGCATTGCAAACTACTACTTGCATAAAGTTTAACTTAAAGCCTGACAATGAATCATAACTGCTATGATGCCAAATAGTAGTAGTTCTTTTTTGTTGTTTTATTTTTTTTTAAATGATAGGTTCAGATCAATTTTATCTACAATATGTTTCTACTATATTTCAATGTCATATGTTGACATAGTAACTAGTTGTTATAATTGTTTTTTTCCATACTGACAGTGAAGTAATCTCTTTACAGGTAGAAATATGTATTGTTCTGTGCAAAACTACTCTACAAAGTTCAGTTGTACTGATACTCTTCAGCAGTCAGCAGCCAAGTTAATGTGGATACTGAAGGTCATTCCTGCAACCAATAACTCTTTTAATGTGCACATGACGGGCATAGAAATACTTTGTTAATTATTTGTACTAAACTTAATCAAATCTTACTTATTCCTTTAACTTAAACAGTTTCTATGGTTGGTTTAAAGGACCAGTGTGTAGAATTTAGTTGCACATAGCGGTGAAGTTGCATATTGCAACTAACTGAACACCACTAATGTCGATATTTGAGGACTTAGGAATGAGAACAGGGTGTGTGTAGGAAAAACTTCAGTGGCAGCGAAACTCACAAAAAACACGAAAGGCTTTATGAAGAAACATGGCAAACTCAAAGGTGATCCACAGCATCTGTAGATTAGAAGAACTACGGTGATTATACACTAATGAAAGCATACCTGAACATGAACATACACACTGGACCTTCAAATGTGCGTATTCTTTAACAAAACAACAAAATAAAACTAACAAAACTGACTCTTCTGAATGCATACTCCATTGTATTTGTAATAAGATGTGTGCTCCTGCCTTTAAATGTAAATACATTAAGTCTGCATGCATGACAAAGTCATACTCCAACTCCAGCTAATTCATTAATCAAACTAATTCAAAAACTCTCTCTCTGCAGCTTTGAAAGGTGGCTGTGAAGTGCTATGAAGTGTTCTGTAGTTTCCTTGTAGACTGAAATCAGCTGCAGTGGTCAGTTTGGATTCAGCATATAACAACATTATCAAATGGTGACCCATTTTCACTGTGGGAAAGAAAAAGTACCATAATCACTACTGAAATCCATTGTTAGTGACTGAACTCAAGCTGACTGAAGCTGCTGTTCTATGTCTGCTGTTCTATGAGGAAACTTGTATCACCTGCAGGTAGAATGTTTGATCAACAAAAGGTGTATTTTGTGGGAAACATCAATTTAACATTTATGATGTTTTTGTGGGTCAGTATTTGTATGTTTTTGTTGTTTATACACCAAGCCCAAACATCATCCCTGGTCACGCAAAAAGGGGGGATACTATAATTTATCACCATCATGTTACTGTATTTATCTGAGGACACAGCTGCATAATCTAAAAACCAGCCCAGAAAGATGCTCCAAGATTTGGCCAATGAAGCAGCTATGATTCTCGCTCAGCGGTAATGGAGAATTAATTTTTTTCTTCTCATGTAAATTTGTCAGCATATTAGGACTCCTGGTTATTCGAGTGATGTCCTGGCTCTGACCTTTCCAATAGTTTGCAGAGAACAACTTAGCTAAGTGTAGTATGTGTGTTTTTCAAGCTGCCAACTTGAATCACTCCAGTGAGGATAGACTGACGGACAGATGGGTATATCCAGCCTGAGGGGGGAGAAATAGCATCATCCCAGCAAAATGATGAACCCACAATGTATGTGTGTGTGTGTGTGTGTGTGTGTGTGTGTGTGTGTGTGTGTGTGTGTGTTTGTAGGTTTGTGTGTGTTTGTGTTAAGCACGCACAATAGGTAGGGGTGTGTGGCTGGGTCGGCACATGTACAGTAGGCAGGTTGCATGCATGGTGCCAGCGTTTGTGCAATTGAATTAACACATGATGACAACATTTCACATTCACAGTCTTGTCTGCAGAATCTAATTTAGAAATACAGGGAGAGGGTAAGAGAGAGAGTGTCTGGCCAGTGGCGCATGACTATGCACATTTTTATTGGATAACTCACAGTTTGGACCAATGAAACTTCTTTTATTATTACTGAAATATTGATAATGCCAAAGTATCCGGTAGTATATTTTCTCTGACTGTTCGTGTATTTGTCTCCAGGATGATTCAGAATGGTGAGAAAAGGCAAAAACAGACAGATAGGGAAAGGGAGGGGAAATGGATGAGGGAAGCAATATCAAGGCATAGGCTTGCATTATTCCGCAGTTTTACGACAAATACTTAATGAAAACCCCCGCAAGGGTGATAGAAGCCTGTATTTAATTAAGCCTTTATAAAATATTAACCAGGGAGGCCAGGGCGATTTCCCCTCTTCCCTGGTCTGTTCAGTAGATTGAACCACAGTTACACTGCATAGACAGATCTGAATTATAATTCCAGATAGAAGGTGAGCGAGAGACAGTGGGAAAGAGAGAGAGAGAGAGAGAGAGAGAGAGAGAGAGAGAGAGAGAGTCTAGGGCTCACTAAAGAGCCAAAGGGGAGGTTGGGATGGGGGACCGATGCTGCTCCTATTGCTGCCTCTGGAATGTCTTCTAATCACATTAGGGGGGAACTATAGCTGTGATTTATAAGGGCTCTTTTAAGTTCACTTTTCAGCCCCGGCACCTCCGTGTCTCTACCTTAACAATCTTTGAAATGACTTTGATCTCCTAGTTTGGGCGTCACATCCTGTGAAGGGCACCATGTGCAGAAAAGGTGTAAATCATCACTAGAACTGTGGTGTCGTTTTTTTCTATGACAACGATGATGGCTGGGCTATAGGGAGCTCTGACAAGGCCTTAAGCTGCAATTGCTATTGGGGAAAGAGATAAGGAAATGGGTGGAAAAATATTGCTAATTTCTTTTGGTCACGGCTGATGACCGAATGTCATTTTCTGACAACTATCAGTTACACAAACCATCAGTATTCACGGTGGTTGAAACTAAATAGAAATGCGAAACATGTGACTATAATCTCAACTCAAAGGTCCTTGTACTAGTTTCTCTGAACTTTCAACAATCTTCATCAGTGAATGGAGTTGGCTCAGGTGTCGTCATGTGAATAGTAAATGTATTTAGTGTGGAATGTTTGTCATGTGAGAACAAGTGGTCATATGTTAGGGAAGGATTATATTAAAGTGAACAATTTGAAAATGAATTCTCTCCTCAGAACATTAAACTCAGTGGCTATGTGCTTGAACATCATAATCAGGACACTGGAGACCAGACCTGAGTGTTATGTTTGTTTAGGTGTGGCAACAAAACCATATATATATATATATATATATATATATATATATATATATATATATATATATATATGGTGGGACTTGAACCCACAGCCGAATATACTTTTTTATCAGTGTAAGCTAAGTACACTTAGACTTGAGGAGTTGTTAACTTAATTTAATATTGATGCCTTTGTATGACCTACATAAATAAACTAGACCATCAGCAAGAAGATTGGATATTTCTATACGGTTCTAAACGAGGCAGTGGAAACACTACCACTTTTGTCCACAGGGGCCGCCAGAATCAACACAAAATGAAAGTTCCTAGTTGCTGCTGAAGTTTCTTTTTTTCCCCCCCAAGTATATCTCTGATAAGTACTTAAAAGAAATCTGAAAGAATACTTTAATACGTTTAAAATAAGTATATTAATAGCACACTTGAATAAACTTATTTTTTGTGAGGGATTCTTTGACTAAGCAAAAACGTTCCTTATCATGTTGACAGAAAACATAATCTAGGCGGCATTACATTACTTTGCTGTTGTAAAAAAAAAAAAATATATAAATGAACTAAATATATGGGGGGTGCCTCCTTTTATGAATTTACTGTCCTCATGTTTTATTTGTATCAATTTATAGATCCATACAGACTCTGACGAAGGGGAGGGCAACATCAAGTACACTATCTCTGGAGAAGGGGCTGGCTCCATCTTCATCATCGATGAGCTAACAGGAGACATCCATGCCACAGAGAGATTGGACCGGGAAGAGAAGGCCTCTTACACGCTTCGGGCTCAGGCACGGGATAGGCTGTCCAACGACCCTCTTGAACCAGAGTCAGAGTTTGTCATCAAGGTCCAGGACATCAACGACAGTGAACCCAAGTTCTTGGAGGGTCCCTATATCGGCAGTGTGGCAGAGCTGTCGCCCATAGGTAAGGCAAGAAACATGTAGTGCAGTAAGACAGGGACCATCTAGCCAATTTGAGCAAAGAGATGGCCCAAAGGTACTGTACAGAATTACCAGTTATATTACAGATATTTCCATGATGCATTAGTCGGGTCTGTAAAGTAATGCTTTGTCCTAGGCTCAGGGGAAGCTAGAAAGTGCCAAGAAGAGCAATATGCTAAAATTCTCCCCTATTGTAGAGACGGAAATAGGAAAAATCAGACAGGAGATGTTAGATGAAAATAGATGTGGAGTCAGTGAATTCATTGTGGATAAGAAGGAAGTAGAATGGTGACATGGACATTTGAGGAGGATCCCCACACAGACTGTGTCAGACATATGGCCCATAGTTAGGAATGAGATGGAAAAGGTAGGAGACATGCATGCATATAAAGAATGGAGAGATGAACTGCATTACTCCCAGATGAGCTTGGTGGCTGTGTTCTTACACACTGTTATTAGGCAAATGATGAAGGGGGGAATAAGGGGGAAAGAGAAGAGGTGCTTAAGAAGAGTAGATAATGGTGAGGGTACACTACATTTTCATGGAGGCTTTTGACATTGAAATCACAATGCTTTTAATCCTGACAAACGTGTTTTTATTGTGAGCAACAGTATTAGCGGCACCCCTTGGATGGCTGCTTAAAATTCTCCGCTAAATGGAAAAGACAGGTGAATGAGGGTGTCAGGGGCTTCATTAGCATGGTATTAATGTCAACGACACAGCTGATGTGTAATAAACAAAATTGTGTTTGGCTGCCAAGCGTTATCACAATAGCACGTGTTCTCAGAATGTTGTGTCATACCGGATGTGTGTTTGTGTTCATATGCGGTAGAGGTGGGGGTACTTCTTGTCTGAGTGACTCCAGGAGTGGTGCAAAATGGAGAGGCTCTTCCCTGTTCAAGCCTGATTGGAATTAATTCCTGCTTCCTCAGCATGATCCAAACTATGGGCATTTCTGCCTACAGTGCTCTCTAAAACTGAATGCAGTGTGTGTGCATGTGTGTATGCGTGAATGAGAGAGAGAGAGAGAGGCAGAGAGAGAGGGATAGAGCAATTGAAGGGTAGCAAAAAGAAGAGAGATTGAATAGTAGTGAATAGAAATAATGCCTTTTTAGAAAAAGAGGGAACATCTTGGGAAGCAAGAGAGCTATTATCTCCTCAAGAAAGAAAGAAATGGAGCCATAGAGATCGTGCTTAGTTAATGTTAGTTAATGTAATCTTAATGATCGTGACCCTTCCACTTTGGCTGCTCCCCCTTGTTCGACCCTGTCGCACCTCAGTCAAATTGCACACCAAATGAGTGTGCAGTTCATGTTTTAAACATCATTGTGGAGCACTAGCCCTAATGAGGTAACAGCTACTGCTTAGACAAGCATTCTCCCACCCTATCCCTGTTTCTTTTCTTTCTGCTACTCTCCTGTTGAACATCAGCTAAGGACAGCAGTATTTGTTGGCATGTCAGTGATGAGGTCACAAGCACAATGACAATAACTGAAGGGAGTGAAAATTTAAAAAAAGGTGCCGGACAGACCAGTGCCGCTGCCCCATGTCACTCACTAGCTTGTGGGTTTTTGCGGAACATTTCCCTCCTAAAGCGTGCTTGAGCCACAGCTCAAAAAGGTCGAGAATATCACTTGTCCAGTTTAATTTATCATCAAAGGATAAGGCTGGTCATATTGTTACTTATAGTAACTTGCTCAAGGACACTTCAACAAGCAGGAGGAGCCAGGAATCAAACCGCCAACTTTCTAATTAGTGGAAGCTAATCCGACCTCCTGAGCCACATGTCTTCCTGGCAGCTGAACAGCTCTATGTGCATAACTTGTGTACATTATATGACACACATATATTAGCGCCTGTACAGTCCTGTAATTCTATTCACTCCATCGGCAAGGGGGCTGTCACCTACATGCACACAACTTTTACTACTAGATTAGTTAACACTGTACTTGTTCAGGGTCTGAGCTCACAATCTAAACTTATATGCTTTCAAAACATGATATGTCCAAACTTTGGAGCACAAAATCAATTAGGGCTTTCTGCTCTTACATAAATATTCACAGTGGGAAAATGCTTAATACATTATAATAAAGTTGCACTGCATGGCAGGTTGCTGCATTATGTTATCCAAAATTGATAGATGTGCATGATTCATGGTGTTTAAGATTCCTGTCAGGGCATATACTGTATGTCCAATATAAATGATGTTGCTACTAAAGATTTTGGGATGCTGCACCTTCGTTTCATCAGACACTTTGAGGACAGGAAATGAGGCACAGATAGATAGTTGTGCATCCAGGGATTATTACCAAATGTTTCAGTGATACCTCACTTGTCACTATAATTCAGGAATCAGATAAATACTACATCTTCTTATATTATTGCAAATAAGAATTACATTTACAGTACTCTATTTCTAATTTTAAATGGCTTATTATGTTGTTTTGTTATTGTTTTTTTTGCAAAGAAATCATTTTTAATCAAATTGTAAACATTTTTGGTGGATGTAGCAACTACTAAATTTAAAATCCATCCCTGACTGGTTACCCCATACCCAAGAATAAAAACAGGTTCAGAACAGTTTTCATCTATGTGTTGGCACTGAGATTATTTTGCAAGTGATTATTGTTACTTTAGTCTTCAAAATTGTCTTGATGTTCTCTAAACCCTAAAAAATTTAATATTTCCTCCTGTCTGGGTAGTTTTCTAAAGGCCGCAGTGCCCAGCTGAAATTACTTAACCACGTTTGAATCAAACAATATTTTTGTCAACTGTTTGAAAGAATTGCATTGTTACAAATGGGCTTGGGACTGAGTACAGAGAAGGTGAGTCAGAAAGTACTGAGAGACATGCATTGTGGATTTTAGTCTTTTTTACTGTATTTATTAAGAAAATAATAAAAACACCAGCCTTGTCCTTTAAAAGCAATGTCCTTTGAGCTGTCTCAACACCATCCACAATTTGTTTTAATTTGTTCTAGCTGTGAGTTCTTTTGTGCAGATGACAGTGTCTGATAACACCACTAAAATTAAGGGGATTAATAGTGTATACTTGATTTCTTCACTTTACCTCTGTGCATGCACTATATATTTAAAACCTGGTTAGAATCAGTACTTTTTTTTTTTTTTTCGTTTGGACACAGCTCCTGTGATCTGATGCAGGGTTGCGTTTTATGCGGTAACGGAAGCAGGTTGCAAGCATTAGCCACACTGGTGATATGCTCACTGTGCTGTTTTACGGCCAACCATACAGCAAACTGCCTTGGAAGACGTGAGGCCATAATAGTAAGAAAGTAATCAGTAGTCAGCTGCCTGAGGCATATTCATTTTTACTTATCACTCCTGTCATGTCTCCCAGTGCACGTCTTTGTCATAGCTTTACAGCCTCCACCCCTGCTCCTTCCCTCTTTATGCAGAGACTTCCTGTCTGTCTGTCTGCCTGCTCAGCGTCTGCTACCAAAAATAATACTTGTGTATATAGCCTGTTTGTTTTTCAGGGTTGGTTAATTCTAAAAAGGAGAAGAGAGGGCAAATAAAATAGGAGTGGCAAAGATGATGATGAAGTGTGAGAGCCTGAGCTCTGTGTTGTCCTTTGGAAAATGTGCAGCTAATGAAATTGCAGCCTTAAATCAAATTTGCAGTGCATGGGTGATTGAATGTTGCTTTGAGAACTGTGCATGTCTTTATGTTGGGACAGAAGAGGGAACATGGATGGAGTCGTTCTGCAGAACGCTAGCTGTGTCCTCTGACGCATGATGATAAAGACTGTGAAAATTTGATTTAATACAGTGTCTTGGTAGAGGACATCCTGAACTGAAAACAACCAAAAAGAAATGTACTCGAAGATGTTGCTCAGGGATTACTTTAAATATGTGTTTAATTTATATATTATACATTATTAGATTAAAAATTTGTAAAATGTAGTTTAGCCAAAGCAAACTAAGGCAACAGTGTGGGCTAGAGGTTTTAGAGTTTCACTGACAAATGACAGATTGCTGGCTCACTTATCACCATCAACAGGAGGATATATTTTTAGCTGGTATTGCTGAGCAAATTGAAAAAAACAAAAAATACACAGTGCTGGAACAAGATTTAGTTAACTAAGCTGGTTCAGTTGTTTGATTTATTTGATATAAAAACAGTTTTTTGAGATTGGTATGTAAGGGAATGGAGGGGAAACACTATGATGCACGCATGATCAGCATGTTTAGGGAATGGATGGATGTGGCTGTTGTTATGTCCTGCACTGGGTTGGGTACAGGTACAGGTTAAAATAAATTAAATGTGGGTGGGCAGTAGGGGAGGATGAAAATGTGTTGTTTTTTTCTGGAGAAATCAGAAATGAAATGACTGCAGGCGTTTTGACATTTAAATCAATTAAATCAGGCATAATCAGCTACAGGATTTTCTTTGATTGTGAAAGCCGCAAGCTCACACATCCTCTCTGAGGAAACATACAGCTGCAGCTGGAGGACAGGTGCTGCGCCAGTTAACAGAAACTTTTCCAATAACACAACTGCAGCAGCGTAGTGAGTAGCAACAGTTTGTGACTGATTCAGCTAAACGATTATTAGGATTATGTTTTCTAATAAGATCTAATATTAAAGGGTCGGGTCAGGTCTGGATTTGACTTATAGATAATTGCAGGTAACAGGTTGATTCTGGACCCATACAGGACTCTGGTTGTTGTCCGGCCAATTAAACAAATGTATCTATGTGAGAAGATACATTACATATATTTTACTGATATAGTGGACTTAAATTGTTATCTTTTAAAACATCAAAAAACTCAAACAACAGTAATTGCTCACCACTATTAGCCTGTGACTGTGTAGGGCAAAAACTTGCACCTCTGAAAATGTTGAACTCCATTCTGAAGACATGACGCACAGTATCACACACTGAAAGATTATTCATTTTTATAGTAATGCAGGACCATAATATCCATTATATATCACTGCAACAGATGAGAGATTCTGAGAT